TGGGGTAGCTGGGGGGGGGGGGGCACAAGGCAAGGGGGCTCCGTTCCACCCTGTTTCCCCACCTTCAGCTCCAGCTATGGCAAAGCCCAGCTGGCAGCTTTGTGCAGCCCCCTTTCCTCCCCCTTCTTCCCCTGCTAATAACCCTGGGGACAGGGATGGGCTGCTGCTCACTGCTTGAAGCACCAGCCTGGCCCCACAAAAGTGCACAAAATTAACCCTTGAGGGAACCTGAACAGAAGTTCCCTAACATGTTGTGCTCTGTAGTGACTTAAGTTAATAGCTGGTTTATCAAGGGTTAATTTTTTGCATGATCAGTCATTTAAAAAGTGTTCTGCAGTCATAAGTGTGTGTTACGTCATGGCTGTATAGCATATTCAAGGGTCAGATTGTGTGAAAAATGTAATTTGTGTAAGTGTCCCTAGTTTCTACCAGCAGAGTGACAATTCTCCTAGTGGAAATGTACCACCTGTGCAAGGCCACTGTTATCTCCTCAAAGGTCACTAATAACGAAGTCAGGAACAAAGTTTCCACTCGTCACAGGGACTTGCAGCTAGCTGTACAATGGGATTCTGTTCTACGTATGGATAAAGCTTGTGCAACTAAAGAATTCCATCCCTCTACAGATCATTAACTCTACACAAAGGACAGACATTGACGCATGTACTAGTTAATGGGCTAAATTCCAAATCTGTATTTGGATGAGCTTCAATTGAAATATTCATTCCCCTTAATGAAACAAGAACAAAAGGCAGCTGAAAAATTAACTTTGTCAATGTCTGATCTTCCCCCTTCAGTCTAGAGATTCTTCTTCCAAAATTGAGGTTGATGTTTAATCTCTGCAGCCATACCTGCACCCCTATGCACCTAACACTTGTCATGCTTGCACTCTCCTTGTGTGGCAGTAATGGGTGGGGTGGAGAAATACAAAATCCTTTTTTTGACCATCCCCAATAGGAACTTCTGCAGCTGGATTCTTATTACCTGAACCCTGAATATAAAGGTAAGGGTGTGCTTCTGTAATAGCCACATCTGTAACTAGGTGTACAAAAGGGTCATGGCCCAGCCCTCTCTATATAGGCCAGGGAACAAGGGTTACAACTGGAAGAAAGCATGCTTCATCCACTTACAAGGCTGTGATGAAGCTTTGCCTCTGTACAACCTACACATAGAGAATCTTTAGTCATTGCTGGGGAATAAGTGACTGCCTCTTGTGACACCAATGATGAACCATTGGCAGGAAGAGCTGTAGAACAGCTCTGTGCACTACTTAGTACTGTTAGACGCTACTGGAGGAGCTGTGGCATTGGCTGTCTATGGAAAGCCTAGGAAAGGACTGCACAAGTAGTAAGCAAAGAAAGCATGGAATCTGCACCACTGCCCAAGGTGGTAGAGTACTGCCATTCCCACCCACTCTGAATTGTATGTCCTGCTATCCCAGCAGAACTATGGAAAGCTCGGATTTCCATTATTATTCCACATTATTTACTCCAGCCACACTGCTTTACTTTCTACCTGCCAACCCTGGGTTGATAAACTAATTTTTTTGTGGGGTTTTTTTACCCATTTTAGTCCGAACATTTATCCCAGCATTGCTACCACAAGAGAATATTCATTGGATTGAATTAAAAGCACCTACACTGAAGTGCCTAGCTGAGGGTCTAAGACAACTTTGTCTATGTGAGACTCAAGTAATACTTATAAAACATGCACACAAGAAGTCAGCCACTTCCAAGGTTACCTACCTTTATTGCGGCCATTACCCCGTCTATTCAGATCCATCATTCTCAAGTACCACATCTATAAATAAAGACACATCTTTGAAAGGTCTATCTGCAGAGCTGTCAGGGTCGGCTGACTCTACCTGCTGCTTTATTAATTTATAGTGATTCTATCCTTTCTAAAGTGAATAGGTGGTAGGGAAAACAAAAAAGAAAGAGCCTAAGAAAAACAGGAACTGAAACTGGGACATCCAGTCCAAGAAACTGCTTTAAAAATAGGACTCTAAAAATGGGCTGGAGCCTCTCTTTCATAGCACAGCCAGATTAATAAAAGCCCTTTAAAAATACTCTATTCTCAGTTTGACCCTCTGAAGACTGATAACATCAAGGTTTGGAGCCTTGCAGTTTTCTAAAGGTTCATCTGGAAGTCAGCCTCTCTTTGCCGATCATCAGTGCCATATTACCGTAGGCCTGATGTTGACCCCACTGAAATCATTAGGAATTCTATTGTTAAGTGGGATCAAGAGAAGTCCCATGTGATTCCAGGTAACAATACAACTGGAACACTGATCACATCAACCTTGCCATGGTGCACCCAACCATTGCACTTCTTGAAAAGTGCCAGTCCTGCAACTGGAAGCTGATTCTGTAGCTAAACCAGAAATGTATTTGTTGAGGTGGGCACTCAGGTCAACTTTCTGGTACTATGAATCATTTTTAAACAAGTCCAGCTGAAAGCAAACAGGAATTATTCCCCCTCCTGGTTTCCATGCAGTGAAGTACTCCATTGCTCCAAGTGGATTCCATTGGCAACAGAACTGGATCTGTAATCACTCCATGACAAGATACCCTGAGCATTGTTAATCTAAAATCAGGTTTTTAGCTATCACTTGTGACTACAAGTCACCCATAAAGCCACTATCTCTTTCTTATCCAATACTGTGGTAATGAAAAGAAGGGAACATACTCCCTGACAATTGTTGCCAGGTGAACACTTCTGAGCTATCTTAAAACCCCCAGGGTCATATCGTCAAGTCCATCCAGCTCCAATCTTTGCAGAAAGAGGTAGTTTCCTTTTTATCTAGGGTTGCTCCCTTTGGCATTTATTTTCCATTAACTTTTTCACAAATGCATTTCCTGATGGGAATACTGGCAGTAATAGAGAATTTTAAGTAACTGTTAAAGAATAGCCACAGAAAGGATTCTCCTTGTAAAAACAAATGTTTCCACTGAAAACTCAGTTTAAAAAGTATTAGGCTTAACCTATAAGGAAACAAAAATCAGCATCCCAAACTAACCCAAACCTTTTGCATTTCAAATACTTAGCATGCCCTCCTTCAGTGCTATTATCTGACTAGTTTTGAACAGGAAATACATAAGAAAATTGTAAACTTTACTGAGAATTCAAAAAGAGAGGGGTAGGAAATTTGATCCAATTTATACAAGTTAGACATTCAGTTCCAGCATTTAACCAACAGCACAAGCTGTCCTTATGTCCTGGCATTATGCCTGAAGTGCTATCTTTATTTCTGAATGTAATTATCTGTCGCAACTTGTAAAGGGCTGGCAATAAAAAGGAGACAGAATGGTGAAAAATGTTCAGCCCTGAACATGACATGTTTCAGCCCTCACTGGGTTTGTTTAGTTACAAACCAGAAATGCAGGTACACATTTTTCTGGTGGTACGAGCTGGCCCCCAGTTGCAGATAAACCTGATTTGGCATCTTTTTTTTTCAAGAAGTCTGCAAGTTTGTTTGCTTTGAAACAAAGCCAGATTGAGCTCTGAAATTCTGATCAGCGTTTATTCAAGCCTAAACCTCAAACCAGGCAGCTCAAAAATGAAGAAAAGTATGGAACCCAAATCCCATTTGAGTGAAACCCCTGCAGTTATAATATTATATGGTTGGTTTAGGAGTGGTTTGGTAACAGAGACAGAATATTTGTTTCTGTTGATAAGACATACTAATCAGCATCCCTAGGCATACACATACAATACTTTACACACAAAAATGAGGATCAGAGTTGGCAGATACTCTAGACTTTCACAGCAATTTAAGGGATCCAGGAAGCAAGGTCAGATATTCCAGCTGATCAGAATTAAGCGTGATTAGAGATGACTTGCCAAACCACATACAGCTTTTAGACTGAAATTTGAATTACAACCAGAAAGACTCAACGGTACTTCAGTCTAGAGATCACAGCAAAGGAAAGCTGCTAGACAGTCAGAGACAAAGAGAGAGAGAGAGAGAGAGAGAGAGGGAGAGAGAGAGAGAGAGAGAGAGAGAGAGCACATTGTCAGGTGTGTCAAAGCTGGTTTGCATAGAGAGGTATTCTTTACTTTGCTGAAAGATTATTTTATTTTCAGCCCTGAAGTGATCTCTACA